GAAGAATACAGAGAGACAGATGAAGAAGTGGTTTGTTTCTGAAGGAAATACAGTGTACATGATCACCAAGAAGCTGAAGAGAGACTATGAAAACAATCAGGACACATATCTGCCAACAACATATGGGAGATCTATATCAAATGAGATTGAGAAGATAAAAAGAACATTTCCAGTATATGTTGAACAGATCTAGCCCATCTGTGATTCCAAACATCCCAGAGGCTAAACAATACCTGGATAGCGGTCTTGACAACGAGGTTGGAGAAACTAAAAAATAAGAAGATACCTGGAGAAGATGAAGTCTGCTCAAAGATTCTGACAGCTGGAGACTAGATTTTATAACAAAGTAAAAAAGTAGAACAGCATGCTATATGGGGTCTTCATAGCCTTTGAAAAGGACTTTGACAGCCTACACAGAGAGTCTTTGTGGAAAATCCTACTACATTATGGGATCCCACAGGAGATCGTCAATGTCATCAAAAGCTTATATAATGGCTGCAAGTGTAAGGTGATTTGTGACAACCAGTTTGTAGATAGCTACAATGTGAATGGTGAGGTGAAGCAAGACTGTATTTTGTCTCCCTTCCTATTCATTCTGGTTGTGGACTGGCTTATGAGAATACTTCTAGAGCACAATAACTGGACACATATTTCGGTGCTTGAAGATCTAGATTACATAGATGACGTTAGTCTCATTCAAGTCAACATGTTAGCATCTAAGAGAAAACGTGGAATTTATTTACCTTTGCTACAGAAATATCAGGAACACATCTGTTGACATTGCATGTTACGAAAATACGACGGAGTTAGCTGGGACATGTGTGGAGAATGCCATCCTCTGCACTCCCCAAAATATCCCTTTGATGGACACCACTAGCAAAGAGGAAATGCGGGCATTCTTAAGGGACCTGAAGAAGGACAGCAGAGGGAGAGAATGGAAAGAATGCAACTTAACCTAGGAACCAACTGAACAATATGTTGCAGACTGAAGGAACCACCAAAGTAAAGAGAATTGAAAGAGTGGGTCATTATTTGATGTTGCCTCAATACAAAACAATAATGTAATTGTAACTATTTATTATACTATATATATTCATGACTTTAGAAAAACACGTTTCTATCGTCGTAAGTCCGCAGACATACCACTGTGTTATTGGGGCTGGGAGGGGCAAACAAAAAATGTGTTATTTAATTTAATTATGTGCACTCACACTTTGAATAGTTCACCTGCAAGATGATTTTTATATAAAGTATTGAAATGATATTTTTTATCTCACAGTTTTCACATTTCTATTGTATAATCTCTAGAACATCATAAATGAATATCAAAAATTGTTTGGAGGTAAATATTTATATTTCATTTTCTAT